GTGACACCAATTGTTTACATTTGGATACGCTGCGAGCAGATATGAATGTACGAGAGAAAATCATGGAGAAATGTAAGTTTAAAAACAGTAAAATCGACCTTGCTAGCCGAAACGATCCTCTGTGGATCAATCGGTAAAAGCACGTCAGGTTATATGACGGATTCGTATAGGATACAGGTTCGATTCCTGTCGGAGGACGCATATGTTTTATGAAAATTTCTCGGACGAAAATATCATTAATACTGTTTATTATAAACAGAGCATTTACTTAAATGTTTGTATTTATAAAAAGAACGTATAAACATAAAAATGTCTTTATATATATATATATATATATATATATATATCATAACTAGATAATTATACAAAGTATTAATTTGCAATGTTAATGTAATTAATGGCGAAATCTCTTCGCTAACAAAACTTAATAAAGCATTAACTTACCAATAATACATTGAATGACGCGATCCTTATATTTAAATTTAATTTGTCTTCGAGTTTAACTGGAATGGAAAAATTACGCCCTGGGGATGAAAATGTGAAATTTCCGAAAATATTCGGCCTAGAAACATCATATCTATCTAACAATTTAAACATATATATATCAAGATTCTTGACAAAATTCAAAGAAGGGGGTCTGTGATGTAATCGATTCTGACCTGGTATCTCGATTTTCAGGATATTTACATTATTTTCAGCAAGCCATTTCCTCGTAAAGTTAGGATCATTATCTTGTTGAAAGACCCAATCAGGAGGAAGTTCAAAATTTTCAACCGAAATCATTAAATTTGCTTCCAAACTATTTTGATATGATGCGGCATTCATTTTACCATATATTACTGATATGTTGCCAGTACCTTCTGCATAAAAACATCCTCAAACCATGACGCTGCCACCACCAAATTTTACTATTGAATTGTGTTCTTTTATTTGAAGGCGTCGCCAATATTTCCCTATACATGGTTTCTAGAATGACGCCTAAATAACTCAATTTTGGTTTCGTCTCTCCATAAAACTCTTTCACAATTTTCCTTATCCTTATGTTCACGAACGAAATTCAACCTGACATCTCTGTGTCTTTACATTAGCAGTGGAGTTTTCTGAGGGAAGAGTCTCTTTAGATTGTTCCTATGGATTTCATTGCTTATTGTCTGTTTAGTGACACGAATTCCCGATGAAAGCAAATCATCCTGCAACTCTTTAACTTCCTCGAAGATCTTGAAGAAATCTTCCTGTTCTTTGGTTTCCAACAGTTTTGAGTGTATATACCTTGCAATGAATGGCCTAATGGTAGTAAATGGAATATTCAGGTTGTCTGAGATTTTCCGGTAACTTTTACCTTCTTTCCAGAGCTTAACAATCAGTTCATTTTGCGAATTTGTCAAATCTTACCTCTTGCCATGATGAAAACCTTCTTGCATGAATATCAATTGCAGAATGTTCTGTGTGTATCTTTTACGTTAAAAATAACTATTGATAACACTATTGGAACATTCTAGAATATTCCACCTGAATAATCTAGAGTATGAAATCAAGTTAAATGTTTTAAAATCTTTTTTTCATTTGTGATTTTGTCTATATGTTAAAATTATAATAAATAATTATCGGTATCAAGCCCTCTTTTGGATTAATGCCATGGACGTTAGAATTTATAGATTACTTTCGTTCTCATTGCATCGGATATATATATATATATATATATATATATATATATATATATATATATATATATATATTCAGCCCATACCACGAATTTCAAACTGGCATCTCTATGTCTTTTCAACAGAAGTAGAGTTTTCCTAGGAAAGCGTCACTTTAGATTGTTCCTATGATGTTCATTGCTTGTTGTTTGTTTAGTGACACAGTTTCCTGATGAAAGCAAATCATCCTGCAACTCTTGACGAGCAACCATTTGATTTTTTTTTAATCAGACGCATTAATTTCCTCGAAGATCTTGCAGAATCCTCCGTAGAGTACCTTTTCTTTTTTGGTTTTCAACAGTTTTGAGTTTGTTTGTTTTTCATATACATTCAATGAATGAACTAATTGCAGTAAATAGAATATTCGGTTTGTCTGAGATTTTTCTGTAAATGTTACCTTCTTTGTAGAGCTTAACAATCAGGTTTCTTCTGCGAATTTGTCAAATCTTTGCTTCTTGCCATGATGAAAACCTTCTTGCATGAATATCAATTGCAGAATGTTCTGTGTGTATCTTTTACGTTAAAAATAACTATTGATAACATTACTGGAACATTCTACAATATTCCACTTGAATAATCTAGAGTATTAAATCAAGTTAAATGTTTTAAAATCTAAACTTTGTATTGTACGAATACTTTTTTCACTCATTAAAACGAATATATGGTATTTACTTTTATTATATCAATTTTTTTTAATTTTCTACGTATATTTAGTTATTATGCATCTGTGTACAGTTAATTAAATGAAAAGTATGTTTATTCATTAGTTGGAAATACAATAAATTAAAAATTTTGTGTCCAAATATTTGTTTAACCCAAACGACTGTATATATCCTAGAAGATAATTACGAATGTAGTTTTAGTTTATTGAATTTGTATTCCATAATAACTTCTTTATAACTTAGGATATTAATACCCGACACCTCCACATTTTACAGAAATGTACACAAGATAACTTCAAGAAAAGACATAACTTCGTTATCTTCGTATTTACCGCACACAACAGGAAATGCAATAGAAAGACGGTATTCAGGATAACTGATATCAAACAAAATAGGGATTTAATATCTGACTTTTTTTTTCTCCTCTCTGTGCATCCTTTGTTATATGGAGTAGACACCGGGTCATCTTGCTGCTATGTCTGGGATTAAATTTGTGTATTATATGAGTCAGTCATTTGTCTTGAAGCTATTTGACTGAAATTCAAGGATGGAAAGATTCTCATTGGTCGAATGAATTGGAAAGACGAACATGCGCACAGAAGGAAAATGGGTTTATTGTGTGTTTTTAAAAGCAATCTGTATTAAATGGAGGCGGAAAAGAAAGAATCGAAAAATATTTTAGAAAGAAAGATCAAATAGAAAGAAAAGTTTAAAGCGGGCGAGAGAAGTAGAAATGAAAACAAAAGAAAGAATTTTAGGATTAGGATAGAAAGGAAAGAAATATGAAGTATAAAGGTGACATTTGAAAGAAAGAAAGAAAGAAAGAAAGAAAGAAAGAAAGAAGAGTTGAGACAAAGGAATGATATAAGCATCATGCTGACTTGTAAAAGAAAGAAAGAAAGTAAGAAAGAAAGAATTGATACAAAAAGAAAGATATATGAAATATAAAGGTGACCTTTAAAAGAAAGAAAGAAAGAGTTGAGACAAAGGAATGATATAAGCATCATGCTGACCTGTAAAAGAAAGAAAGACAGAGAGAATTTTAGAATTGATACAAGAAGGAAAGATATATGAAGTATAAAGTTGACATTTGAAAGAAATAAATAAATAAAGAAAGAAAGAAAGAAAGAAAGAAAGAAAGAAAGAAAGAGGAAAGAATTTTAGAGTTGAGACAAAAGAACGATATAAGTATCATGCTGACCTGTAAAAGAAAGAAAGAAGCAAGGAAAAAAAGAAAGTAGAAAAGAAAGAAAGAAAGGAAGAAGAGTTGAGAAAAAGGAATGATACAAGCATCATGCTGACTTGTAAAAGAAAGAAAGAAAGAAAGAAAGAAAGAAAGAAAGAATTGATACAAGAAGGAAAGATATATGAAGTATAAAGGTGACCTTTAAAAGAAAGAAAGAAAGAAAGAAGGAAAAAGAGTTGAGACAAAGGAATGATATAAATATCATGCTGACTTGTAAAAGAAAGAAAGAAAGAAAGAAAGAATTTTAGAGTTGAAACAAAAGAACGATATAACTATCATGCTGACCTGTAAAAGAAAGAAAGAAAGAAAGAAGAAAAAAAAGAAAATAGAAAGAAAAAAGAAAATAGAAAGGAAGAAGAAAAAAGAAAGAAAAAAGAAAATGAAGGAAGGTACAGAAGAGAGGAAAATAAAGGGGAAAAGGAGGAAGAAAAGTAGAAATTGGTGAAAGAAAGGAAGAATTGAACGAAAAACAGAAAAGAAAAACGAAAAGAGAATCATAGAAGGAAATTTCACGTCTAGGAGGGAGACGTCAGGTAATTGTGCATTGCCAACTGAATAATGGAGAAATGAGGCGAAAGAATTGAAAAGAAGCCATTTTCGAAGAAGTATATGTTTTGCTTGAAACGATGGCTTCTCAAGAGCTTCTATTTTGTTCCACATGATCTCGCGAGAACGAGAAGAGAATTTACCCACAACGGCGATACTCTCTGAAAATCGACGCGCGGAAATGACTTCACAATCTGATTTCTATTTCCATCCGGAATTGTATTGACATGAATTTCATACACTCGTGGCCTCTAATTAAAATGGACAAAAGCAAGTTGTAGAATATAAGGCCACGTTCGGCTGGCATTGTATTTGAGCCTATTCCTATCTATCTATCTATCTATCTATCTATCTATCTATCTATCTATCTATCGGAGGTTATTCATATCTATCTGAGCCAATTCAGATCTATCGATCTATCTATCAGCACATTCATATCTATGTATTTATTTATGAGCTTATTCATATCTATCTATCTAGTTGAGCCTATTCATATCTATCTATATATCTATCTATCTATCTATGAGCATATTCGTATCTAGTTATTTACGGGCTTATTCATATCTATCTATCTATCTATCTATCTACCTATCTATCTATCCCAGTCTACTTCTATCTATCTATCTATCTATCTATCTATCTATCTATCTATCTATCCCAGTCTACTTCTATCTATCTATCTATCTATCTATCTATCTATCTATCTATCTATCCCAGTCTACTTCTATCTATCTATCTATCTATCTATCTATCTATCTATCTATCTATCTATCTATCTATCTATCTATCTATCTATCTATCTATCTATCCGAAACTATTCATGTCTATCAGGTCTACGGCTACATGACGTTGAAACACCGGTTCCCGTACGACCATAGAAGTTAAGCAACGTCGAGCCTGCTCAGTACTTAGATGGGTGACCGCTTTGGAATGAATGTGCTGTAAGCTAGGATGTTCAGATGGTGTAATGAATAATGGCTAATTGGAGAGCTGAGTTCAAATTCCCGTTGGGATCGTTATATACACTTACACAAAAGTACGCTTAGGTAAGGTATAAATACAAAATAATTTTCAGATTTTAAATAATCTGCAAACGATTAAGTCGTGGAAAACGAATCAACAACAAGAATATATTCAAGACTCCATTCGAAAAAAGCTCTGTCCTTAACTGTACTTATGTCAAAACATAAATTCCTTTTCTTGGACATTCTTGAAGAGTCTAATAATAACACATTCACTGCTTTGTCATACAAAAAACAATTAAAAACTTTTGCCTATATATATATATATATATATATATATATATATATATATATATATATATATATATAGTAAAGGTAATGAATCCGTTCCGTTGGTATATAACCCAAGTGGATCCTAATAATGTAAAATATTAAAACGGAACCACAAAAAGAGCTCAATGTATTATACAGAGCAAATAAATAGTAGTAAGCCATAAAATTCAAAATGACCTTGTAAGTCTTATTCAACCCCGATATATAGACTGAGTTCGTGTCGGAATTAGAAATTTAACTGTGACAACTGTCGAAAAATTAATAGAGAATTTATCTATTTCAATGTTTCAGTCAGACGAAAGGCACGACATTTAAGACTGCCGGAGTTTTCGTCGGTTGAAATACGTCTATACCCCATATGAGGTAATTTTGAATTTTATGATTTACTACTATATAGATAGATAGATAGATAGATAGATATATAGATAGATAGATATCGCAAAATATATTCGAATGCTTAAAGGTGGTCATCAGTGATAAAAGCACCTTTAAGCATTCGAATGTATTTTGCGATAGATAGATAGATAGATAGATAGATAGATAGATAGATAGATAGATACAAAAAGACAGACAGACAGAGAAAGAGAGATTAATAGATTGGAACAATCAAATCTTTCTATGAAAATATATATTTATATAAATATATATTGGGTCACACACACACATACATATATATATATATATATATATATATATATATATATATATAGTATAACAGGCAGACTTTTATGCGTTTTTTTTATTCAATCTCTTTTGTATGAATACTTGCTGCTTAAATGCACCTTATATATATATATATATATATATATATATATATATATATATATATATATATATATATATATATATATATAGGTTGTATTGAAGATACTTTCTTTTACAAATTTGGGGTACTGGTTCCTCACACCAAAACAAGGACAAACGTTCATATAAATATATGTCCGCAAATCCTTCGTTTTTGACTTGGCCACGAAGAAGACATTCTACGGGCTATCGGAGACGATCCAGGGGTGAGCACACTTCAATTGGCCTTGGTTTGTCGTACATCCCATGGATAGATAAATAAGGACTGGCATAGATAGATAGATAGATAGATAGATAGATAGATAGATAGAAATGGACTTAGATAGATAGATAGATAGATAGATAGATAGATAGATAGATAGATAGATAGAAAGAAATGGACTAAGATAGATAGATAGATAGATAGATAGATAGATAGATAGATAGATAACTGAATTATATTTAAGGATTACTGTTGCAATATATATCCGTGAATGCCAAAGAAAACCTTGACCGAATCACTGGGATAAAGAGTTTGATTCGAACAATTGAATAATCGGGGAGGGGGTTCCTCAGATTTTTAGAAAATTGATAATGTTCGATAGAGAAGCGCACACCTCATAAAACGAAACAGCGACACTCACGGATACACAAGACCTCCACAAGCGTAAGCAGAATTTAACCGTTTTACCAGTAAATATTTTGGGGTCTTATTTAAAAAACAAAAAAAAAATAAAAATAAAAAACCCAAAAAACAACAGAGCTAAAAGTGGATATATTTAATAAAAAATACCAATGGTGTCAGATAGCATGAACGGTTTTCAGATTCAAACCATGTGCAAATATGCAAAATCTGCTTATTTGCCAAAAACTGCAATGGAAAATAAACACTGTTTTACATATGGTAATGTGAACACATCGTCACTCACCAAAATTAACTGACCTCGCTATTGACACCTGCCAAAGCCCAACAAGCGGCCTTTATTTAGAACCCCCTTTAATAAGACGGCAAAACTAACAGAGATGAGCAAGTTAAATTCGATTTACTGATATGTCTGAACCAAGATATATATGAACAGACTGAAATAGATAGATAGATAGACAATGATTAGAAAGAGATAGATAGATAATGAAGAGACTGAGATAGATAGATAGATAGATAGATAGATAGATAGATAATGAAGAGAATGAGATAGATAGATAGATAATGAATAGACTGAGATAGATAGATAGATAGATAGATAATAGCTGGCCACTCGTATTCGAGGATACCCATCTACTAGGGCGGCTAGCCAATCCCTATTGCGGACGCTCGCACAGGCACATTTCTGTTTCCTCAACGCCTACTGCAACTATACAACTTAGTTACAGCTTCTGGGGTAGAGCATGTTATCTAGCGTGATAAACAATTTGAACTTGTGGTTTCGTCTACCCAATTTCACTGACAAAGCATGGGTCAGCCCGAGGTATCTTTTTATTTTTGCCGCCCATCCCGATCCATCCTGATAACATCTCCCTCTTGACAAATCGACCATGGTGAGATTGAAACCCGGGTCTCATGGTCAAAATGCGAATGTTCTAACCACTCGGCCACGCATAGATAGACTGGCAATGTTGAGGGTAGATTTAAATCCATATGAATAGAATCGTACACACACACACGCACAAACACACACACGTGCATACATGCATGCATACAAGTATATATATATATATATATATATATATATATATATATATATATATATATATATATATATATATATATATATATATATATATATATATATATATATATGATACTAGTATGTATGCATGTATATATATATATATATATATATATATATATATATATACACACACACACATATATATATATATATATATATATATATGCATGCATAGACGGACGGACGGACGGACGGACGAACGACCGACAGACAGTATACACGGTGGAGTAATGGATATCGGCTTGGATTGAGGAATCGGAGAGCCGAGTTCGAATTCCAGGCGAATCCATTACATTCACTTACGTATTAATAACCATTGGGAAAGACATGAATCCTCTACTTCTCCCTCTAACTATGAGTAAATAGCAGGGCAGACTGGGTTCTATAGCCTTGGATGGCAACTGGTCTAGGAGAAGGAAAACTCTGAATTCAAAAACTGCAGAGAGTCCTTTGGGGACCTTGTGCACCAGGCCTCTGTAATCGGACCTTCAAAAAGTGCGGATGGTCCTGCACGAAACCTTCACCACTATAATCAAATCTCATGTGCTGTTGTTGGGTCGTCGGTTTCCTGTGAACTGATCTGCCTGCCCCTCAACGTCGAATTTAACGGGAGATATATATATATATATATATATATATATATATATATATATATATATATATATATATATATATATATATGAATGATGTGCGTTCAAGATATTGTGATATTGCAGATTATAATGCCCTTCGGAATATTTGTTGATTCTCCAAAACTTTCGACTCCATTTGGAATCATCAAAAGGGGAAGGAACTCTTCCGCTTCCACAATTCTCCAATATATAGTGGGCGCTTTTCCGTCGACCGTGTAATATATTGATTTTCCTGTATTTGAATGGTTGTTGTCGATCCATGTGTCATCCTGATTGGACTTTTTAAAGTGGTTGTTGCTGATTGGTTCAAGAATGTTAAATTTATCACGTGATTTCCGTATGTATATTGATGTGCGATGGGTAAATTGTCGCCTGTTTTTATTTTTTTTTTTTTAAATTTACGTACGCACGTTGTTTGCTTTTTATTTTCTCGACTGCACAGTTTAGTTGGGTTAGTTGGGTAGCGTCTGTGAAATAAAAGCACCATGACGCAATTCTGTTTTTGATCTGACTTTTCTTTCTTTTTTTTTTATCAACGTGTTCCTTAACTTGTCTGTGGAGTTTTCTTTTCACTAGGACCTGAGGAGAGATTCGAATAGCGATGCGATATGGTGGATGCAGATAAATCGACGACAACGGGGTGTGGCGGGAAGTGGTAAGAAAAAGAGAAAGGGGAAGACGGGGAATCTCATATAAGGACGCGTTTGAAAAGTGATAAAACACGAAAACACACACACAAATATATATATATATATATAAACTAGACTGTTCAGAAGATTTGAAGGAGATTCCGAAGTTGTCTTGAGGGCGTCGTTGAAGCCAGTCGTGATTTTATTGGATAAATTTACTCTTCCGATATTTTAGTTTAATTTTGATAAATATATTTCTTACAAGGAGACGTCAGTGTTATTTCATTTATGCGTAATTTATACGACAATTTATCCATCGCACTCTATATGTATGTATATATATATATATATACACACACACACACACATATATATATATATATATATACATATATATATACATATACATACATATATACATACATATATATATACATATATATATATATATATATATATATATAAATATATATATGTATATAGGCATATATATATATATATATATATATATATATATATATATATATATATATATATATAGGCATATTATATATAAATACAGATTTGTAGTGCACTTTCAAGTTTCATTGCATGGTTTCCCCAGGTAGTCAGTCACATATGGCGATAGATTCGCTTATTACCGTTGTTTTTTTAAAAATAGTTTGGTCTCATGAGAGGAACGCTAAATTATACGCAAATTCAACGTCAATGTAAACCCAATATATTATTGAGGTTTAAATTCAAAATATAGAATCTATGGAGGGAGAGATTGGGAAAAAATAAAAATGATGTAAGCTTAAATTTTATATGCTATGTGTTTTTCTGTTGGGAAAAAAGGCAAAATTTACGTTAAGAATTTATAAAGCGTAAGGAGAAA